AGAAATAACCTACCAAGCCATGAAAAAGAAAACTTTTCGAAGAACTAGAGGAGCAAAATGTAGAAAAAAAACTTCTTTGGCAAGCAACGGGGCAGTCAAGCTTGGGGTGCGTTAAAAGTAAATCATTTCAAACAAACAAAACAACTCCTTATGAAATGTGTAAAATGAAGAAAGCACCTGCTTTCCAGGGCAACGGTAGAAATCGCGGCCGGGGTTCTTTACGGTTCGCGACGTGAGAACAATGCAAGCCCCGTGGCCGCAGGGACACTGCATCTCTGGATAGCTACGACGGCCGGCCGCCGGAGAGCCGCTACCGGGATTCTGATTTGACCGACTGGGGCAGTCTCTAACCCAATGGCCCTCTTCGTTGCAAAAGAAGCAGGCCCCTTTATTAGTAACTCGGTCGAACTTATCTTTCTGTGCACTCTGTTGTGCTTTATGCAGCAAAGGGCTTCCCGGTGATGCTGGTGACGGTTGGCGACACGAAGCAACACTCTCTGACCCCATTAATCCAGACTTTTACAACACCTAGAAGACAATCCAGGAGGAAACATCAAAATACTGAAAAAGACTCGATAATTAATGAAATCGACGAGAAGAGAAAGCAACTCCTATAGTGAAGGTAGTTGACGCCACAGACAAACAGAGAGAGAGATTTGCAACCAATTGCTTGAACGAGAAGCTTCAGAAAGCAGAAGCCGGTGAAGATGGCGCCAGTGGACTGCACTCTGCGGCAACCGCACTCTGCAGTCCTTGCGAGTGGAAAAAGAACGAAGAGAAGGTCCTTTTTTAGACGTAACGACAAGTAAGATAAAAAAAAAAAAAAAAAAGTTCGAACTTTACTGTGCAATTTAAAACTTCAATAAAATCACATCCTCCACAGAGGACAAAATTAAATCAATTTTTTTTTTGGGGTAAAATTATGGGCAGGGCCCGAATGCATTAATCAAAAGATTAGTTACATGTGTAAAAAGAAAGTCTAACTTTTTTTTTGGGTAAACTCGGGGCCAAAGCCCATGAATTAGAATAAAGAGTTCAAATTACAAAACCTGTGGGAAGAGAAAATAAAAAACATAAGTAACAAAATTTACACAAAGAGAAGACAGCAAAAGTAAGAGAAGAAAATTGGACAGATCAAAAGGACTCAGAAATAAAG